AGAGAGAAGGCTGGGGAGGCAGGTGAGGTGCTGGGAGGGCAGGATGCAAAGTTACCCACAGGCTTTAGCACTAGAATGTAGGAGAGAAGGTGAGTGGCCCTGCCAAGACCCCTCCAGACTGCCTGATGGATTTCTCTCTGTTACAGATGAGTGGACAGTAAGAACAGATGCGAACCTCTGATCTTGCCCCAGTCTGTTTCACTCTTCTAGTGGGGAGACAGAAGGGGGGATGCCGCTATCCTCTCCCCTTGGATGAGGGCTCCAAGGATCAGGGACACACACACTGCACACTTGAATTGCTAGTAGTCCAAGCTCACCCCATCCCGAGGATCTGGATGGACAGCCCTCCAAGGCCCAGGGCTCAAAAGGCAGAGACTGGACCTGACCTGACAGCACGCCGGGGCTGATCCCTGCCTTTCTACTGTCTCCCTCCTATATGGCAGGCTGTGGGGAAGGTTTGGGTAGTTACAGAGTGACCTCTTATTGGCTTATAGCTGCAAGGGGCCCCAACATTGTGGCTTTAAGATGGTCTTTAATAAACAAGGTGCCTCACTCCTGACCAGCCAAATGCTAGGTCTAGTGATAGATACTTTCTGGGGACTTTTTCTGATGGTGCAATTTGAAGTGTAATCAGGAAATTAAATCAGGGTCATTCTTTAAACAAATGAATCTCTGGCCTTAGTGAAAGGAGGCATTGCTAGATTTGATGATCAGGAGGTACTAGACTTTCTATTAAAGAAACATTTTCAAATGTCAAAGAACTGTAGGTCTTATAGTCACTGAGCAAGCATTTGCTGAGCACCTATTTTGCACCTAGCACTGGCCTACCTCCCTGCTGAATGCAAAAGGCTTCCCCCAGCACAAGGGAGTCCTCTGCAGCACACAGGATCCCTCCTCTAGCACACGGGAATCCTCCCCCAGCACAAAGGAACCCTCCCCAAGTACACCTGCTCCACTGCCACACTGTGTAGGCCCAGCACCTGGCAGGATCTAGTAAATTCTGGATTGTGCTTTTTCAATCTACTTTACTGCCCTTTTCCCTAACTACTGTATCAGCCCCATGGGGGAGGGAAGGCTGTGTTTGCTGACTGCTTGAAGTACCTTCAATACCTACAGGAATCTCTGATACTGAGGAAATGGACATTAAACAGGAAAAACTCATACCTATCATCTATACATACATACTTACGTAAATATCTCATGATCAACATGAATGCTCCAGAGAAAGGTGTGAGACTCTGGGGTGGCTCCTAGTGGCAGGTGGGGCAGACTTGCCTGAGGACAACCTGCTTCAACTGACTCCTAAAGGATATGTCAGTGTTAGGCACAGAGGGGAAAGGGTCTGGGGACAAAAGGAAGGTTCTTGGAGGAGGACCAGCATGTCCAAAGGCCCTGAGACAGAAAAGAGGTATATATCTGAGACCCAGAAAGGATGCTGTTATCTGGAACAAACTTCAAGATGGTCCGAGTGGAGATGGAGAGAACAGCAGGAGATGCAGCTCCTGAAGGCCTTGGGGGTCCTACCATTTGGAATTGTTCAAGTGACTATGGGAACCCCAAAAGGAATATAAGAGAAAACCCAGTTTCGCTGCTGGTCAGGGAATTCTGGAGGGGTTCAAAGTTGTTTTTTTGAAAATGAAAAAGTGGGCAACTCCAGCTTCCACATGGGAAACAGCATCAGGCTGCACTAGGCCAGGTACAGCAGACGTGGAGAACAAACAGCAAAGACACAGGATGCTGGATCCCACTGGGCTATCCCCACAGTGCTTGCTCTGAGCTGGAGGTCAGAAAGGACCATGAAAAAAGCGTGAACTCTGCAGGCAGACAGGCACATCACCTCTTGGGTTGTTGTTTCTGAGGCAGGCCGCATGCAGGTGCAGCTGGGGTCTAAGAAGAGCATGGCCTTCACAGCATTCTGTGTTGAGTGATATGGCTGTTGTGCATGCCAAACTCCTGCCTAGACTATTTGTGCCACAGGGCAGTGCTCAGGCCACAACCACTTTGCTCTGAGAGCAAGCATGGAGTTCCCAGGGCTACAATATATCATGTAAGACCACTCTGCATTTAACAAAACACCTCACTCCTGCCTAGGTTCTGCCTCCGGAGCAGGTGGGTCTGGGCAAAAAGGCTGTATACCTGCATCTCCACACTGGAGGGAGGTGTGTGTTTGGGGAGCCCCTTCCTGAAGGAGAGAAGGTGGGCAGCTTGGCTGGGATCCCTTGGACTGCCTAATGTGTCTCTCCCTTGCAAATGACAGAAACAAACTGTATCTGTGAGTATAACTGCTTCTGAGCCCTGTGGGCCCTTCCATGAGTCACAGAGGGTGAGGGTAGTTGCCACACTGAAGCAGCCACTGCAGATAGAAATACCATGGGGCCATGCTCCAATAGCAATGGAAGAACAGGCAGAGGACTGGTGCTCAACTAGAGACCAGGGTTTGCCAAGTGGTACTCACAGAAAACTACTGATCAAATTCAACTCTTTCATGTCTTTGGTAGAGAAATTGAAGCCTAGAAGGAATAAGAGAAGGGCCGTGTCAAAGGTCAGGGCCAGCAGTGGAACCAGGAGAATCCATGTCCCCCTTCCTAGCCCAATGTCATCTCCAATACTCCAAGTGGCTTCTCCAGACCTTATAGATAGTACTGACCCATAGCCGGGCTGGAAAGACAGATGAAACCTGGCATGATTGGGGAAGAGCTGAATGGTGAACTGCCAGGCCTCGTTCTGTTAATCTGTGTGTGTGCAAATACATGTGCACATGTGTGCATATCTGTATGTGCATGTGTGCATATGTGTGAGTATGTATGTGTATGTGTCTATGTCATGTGTATAGAACTTTAAAGGCAATTGGATTTTGCCAAGTGTGCTAGTTTGTTTTGTCAACTTGACACAAGCTAAAGACACCTGGGAAGAAGGAACCTCAGTTTACAGATTGGCCTGTGGCCATGTCTGTGAGGCATTTTTCTTAATTGATGTAGGAAGGCCCAGATCACTCTGGGCAGTGCCATGCCTGAGCAGGTGGGCCGGGACTGTATAAGAAAGATAGCTCAGCAAGCCAGGGGAAGTAAGCCAATAAGTAGCATTACTCTGTGGTCTCTGCTTCAGTTCCTGCTCCAGGTTCCTGCCCTCACTTCCCTCACTGATGGACTGTCACTTGGAAATATAAGATACAATAAACCCTTTCCTCCTCAAGTTGTTTTTGGTTGGAGTGTTTTATCATAGCAACAGAAAGCGAATTAGGACAGCAACCTTTTCCAATCATCAGCATCACCTCTGAAACATCTTGATGTTACAGCTATCTAAGGCCATGGTCATCTAAGACCCACTGAAGAAGAACCCCAATGCAGAACATGGAACTTTCATCTTTAACAAGCTCCCAGGTATTCTGATGATCAGTGAGGTTTGGAGATCTGGGAGGATGCTCAGGATCACTTCACTGGACTTCAAGGATCAGGAGAAAGAAGAGGGATCAGGAGACAAGCAGAAACCTGTCTTGTATCAAGGCAGGAAGCATAGCCCTAACAAAAGCAGATGGACCAGTGACAGAAATGTATGTCCTGCTGTCAGAGCTGGAGTTGCCGGGCCACCAGGCAGGAACCAATTTCCTTCTTCCTGGGGAAGCTATGATTCAGGATGCAATTTGGGTGGCCAGTGGTGACCTGAGCTGCAGGCATGGTGAACTGACAAAGATGAGCATGTGTCCCATTCCACTGGCCACGTCACTCACCATCACAGGCACCTCTGAGTTGCAGTAAGTAACCAGTCTTCCATAAACACTGCCACACCAACAGGGGAAGCTGAAGCCACAGACCTGAAATCTCTTGTCAGCTTCACATTCTGACTGAAAATTAGATGCAGATTCCATGTGATCCATGTATGTTTGTTTTTATGCAGAAATGGGCACATCCTTGCCTACTCAGAAGGCTTTGAGCAAGTTGTTTCTTACACTAGTGTTTCCAAGGACCTGGGAGGTACCCTGAGAGGTTGTTTGAATTGGTCTGGAAATATTCTCAAAAGCTCCCTGAGGGCTTGAGAGCAGAGGCTGAAGACCTATGGGCGTGGCTGATGAGGTGTCTACTTCTAGCCCTCACTTAATATACTCCCAGGCACCTCACTATGTGCCCACTTAGAGGGATTCAGGCATAAACATTCCATCCTTATGAATCAGAACAGCCTAGGCCTGACCAAATAAAGAGAACGGGTGAGCCAATTTCTCCAATTCTTTGTGTATGTATGTCTGGGTGTGTACTACCCTACAGAGAAAAACCAGTTACAATAAGGACCCAGCCTCCCACCAAGATGCACTGTGACATGAGGAAGAAAAGGCAAGTTTGTAATTTTAATCAGTTCCTAACTGGAGTTTAGTAAGTCCCTTCAGCTGTGCCTACAGCTCTCAACAAATCACAGTCCCCTCACAATGAAAAGTCCAGATAGGATGATAGAACACCCAGCTAAAATACCACCCATGTTAGATGCTGTTCTGAAATCCAGGTACCAGCTGAATACCCCTCATCCAAAAATCCAAAATCTGAAACTTCCAGAATGCCAACATACCACAAGTAGAAAAGCTCAAGGCATGAGACTTGGTTTCATGTATAGAACAACTAAAAATATGTACAGAAGACAAATGTGACACAAATGAATTCTGACTTACAAATGAGTATCATCCTCAAAACAGCTCATTATGTACATGTGGATATCCAAAAATTTTAAAAATTCCAAATCTGAAGCAGTTTTGGTCCCAAGCATTGTATAGGGGCAACTCAGCTTGCAACTCTCACATTGTTTAAGGCAGTCACCAAGAAACACCTGTGTCACCAAGCTACAAGTTTGTCTCTAAATGTTTCCTAATTGTATTTTAATACATTTTATTTCTTATGCATTTAATCAATGCAATGAAAGTTATTATCCAGAGGAGACCATAGGTTTCTGCCTACTTACCTAGTCACTGAGCCTCAGTGGTTGGTGGGTATCACCATGCCTCAAATGACAGCCCTTACCTGTGGGTCAGAGAGTCGGGAGAGGTCAGGGTACAGGTAAAATTTGATGCCTTCAGAAGCCCCCGGCAGCGTCACCCCTCGGATCAGGAGGATCAGCAGCATGATGTATGGGAAGGTTGCAGTGACATAGACGACCTGCCCGGGAGAGGGGAAGAGAAGATGAGCAAGGAATGACAGTGATGGCCTATTTCACTAAGTGCCCTGGAGCTCAGATGCGCATGACACGTTCTCTAAATCTATCTATGCAGCCCAGTCTCAGAATGACAGTCATCTCTCTGCATCTGCAGGGGTCTGCTTCCATGGCCGCCAGAAGATAAAGATGTTTATATGGCTCATGTAAAATGGCTCACGGTATTTGCACAGCCCCCACACCCTCCACATGCATCAATCCAGCTTATAACGCCTGATGCAGTGCAAGTGCCATGTATCAGCATACTGTATTATCTAGGAATGACAATGAGAAAAAAGTCCATGTTCAATACAAATGCAAGTGGTTTTCCAATGTTTTCTACTCAAGGATCTTTGGACTCAGAGATGTGGATCCTGTGGTCACTGAGGACCATAATACTATATTTAGAGAAAGTACCCAAACTAGATTCACAGAGGCCAAGAGGGGGATGGTGGTGCCTCCTTTGTCTGTCACATTGGGAGTGACAGTCCTACCAAATAAAAGGCATATGAGTGGGAAATGCACCATCCAATGTTGTACATGGTCAACAACAATGTCCTGACAAATGTTCCTTAAGAGTGTAGATGGCACATTATGGTTCCTACTGCAATGAAATGAAAATAGAAAAGAAAGGAGTGGCAGTAGTGGGCACCATGGGGAGCTAAGAGAAGAGGGGCCCCCAGCCTGCCTATACTACTGCCTCCTTTCCCGCTGCTAGGCCCTCACAGGGGTTCCTACTGAAGGTGGGTGAAGGGCTCTGCATCAATGCATGCCAAACACTTCTGACCACAACCCACAAAAAGAAACAGAAATTACAACACAGCGCAGGGAGTGTTGGAAAGAAGGTTCCACAAAATCACTATTGTGTGGCACATACGCTAATGTTGCCGATCACCCTCTTTCATTTTAAAATTGTGTGTGTGTGTGTGTGTGTGTGTGTAGGTCAGAGGACAACTTGAGGAAGTTGGTTATTTCCTTCCACCATAGAGGTCCTGGGAATCAAACTCAGGTTTTCAGGTTTTTCAGCAAGTGTCTCTTCTTGCTGAGCCATGTCTTGAAATCCTGCCTCCACCTCCCAAATGCTAGGATTCCAGGTATGTGTCATTATGCCAGGCAGGACTCTAATTTAAAAAATATATTTTATTTAGCCGGGCGTGGTGGCGCACGCCTTTAATCCCAGGACTCGGGAGGCAGAGGCAGGTGGATCTCTGTGAGTTCAAGGGCAGCCTGGTCGACATAGTGAGTTCCAGGACAGCTGGGGCTACAGGGAGACCCTGTCTCAAAAAGACCAAAACAAAAAATTATTTATTATTTTTGTTTTATATGTATGCCTGTTTTGCCTGCATGTAGGTAAGTGCACTGTTAAATGAAATGTTCACAGAAGACAGAAGATACTGTTGGATCCACTGGAACTGGAGTTATGGACAGTTGTTAGCTGCCATGTGGTTGCTGGGATTCAAACACAGGTCTTCTGCAAGAATAGCCAGTGTTCTTAACCACTGAGCCATCTCTCCAGCCCCTGATCACCCTCTTTCATTTTAAAATTGTGTGTGTGTGTGTGTGTGTGTGTGTAGGTCAGAGGACAACTTGAGGAAGTTGGTTATTTCCTTCCACCATAGAGGTCCTGGGAATCAAACTCAGGTTTTCAGGTTTTTCAGCAAGTGTCTCTTCTTGCTGAGCCATCTCACCAACCCTCTATTTCATTTAAAATAAAAAAAGAAAAAAAAAACTGATCACAGGGCTGGAGAGATGGCTCAACAGTTAAGAGCACTGACTGCTCTTGTAGAGGACCTGGGTTTGATTCCAAGCACCCACATGGTGGCTAACAACTGTTCATAACTCCAGTTCCAGGGACTCCAATACCCTCTTCTGATATCCACAGACACTGCATGACATGGGTGCACTTATATACATGCAGGCAATACAGTCATACACATAAAATTTAAAAATAAACTGGTCCAGATCCTTTAAGTCCATTTCACAATTCACCAACTGGCTAATACCTACCATTACAAAAAATACCACTCTTAATAATTAAGTCGAGATTTATAGTCAAGGATAGGCTAAAACACAGTGTAGGGTTGGGGGAGGGAGCCATAGGGAGACAGAGAGAAGAGGAGGGGAGGAGAAGGGAGAAAGCTGCCTGGGGCAGGAAGGATTCAGCACTGGTTTGAAAGCATCTGGGCCTGGTCTGCTTAGAGGCAGGTGTTTGGACCCCATGAAGCAGGGAGGGGCTGAGCCAGTAGATCTGGGAACAGAAACAGTACAGTGCACTCAACACTCAGCCCTCCTGGAGCCTCCTATCCTGAGTGCTGTCTGAATGGAGCTGGCCAAGCCTCCACATGCTGCAGGATCCTAATCTTATGGCCCTCACACATGTACCAGCCTCTTGTGCCATGTGAGGTCCCCATAGGACTCAGTGCCCTGCCAGGCTGACTTTTCTGTCATCTTCTTCCTCCAATCACTTGTTCTGTCCCTTGTTACGCTCCCCCCCACTCCTTTTTAGAACAGGAGTTTGTCAACATTCAAGGGTCAGGGACACGAGGACCCAAATTCAGCTCTGTATATGCCCCCATCCCCAATGCACACAGATACAGGATACAGCTTCCTGATGGTTCAGTCTTGGATGCCCACAGACAGAGCATGTGCTCCCAGCCCACTGGCTTTACTGTTACTTCTCAGTCCTGTTCAAACTGGGCCTGTTTTGGCCAGTGCTCCAGTTCCTCATGTCCTTCATTCATGCATGCACTCATTTTTCACTCACTCTCCCACTCATCCACCTACTCTTGCAGTCAATAAAACACAAAGACATGTGTGGGGGAGAGCTTTAGTTGTCAACTTGACACAGCTGGATGCTGAGGAATTTCCTCCATTGGACTGACTGTGACCGTGTCTGTAGCCTATTTTCTTGATTGTTGAGTGATGTGGGAGGGCCTAGCCCTCTGTAGGCAGTGCCACCCCTGGGCAGGTGGTCCTGTATTGTAAAAGCAGGTTGAGCACAGGCCAGGGGAGCAAGCCAGTAAGCAATGTATTTCCATGGTCTGTGCTCCAGGTTCCGACCCTGAGTTCTTGCCTTGGCTCCCTTGACGATGGACTCTGAGCTGCAAGTCAAATAAACCTTTTCCTCCAGAAATTGGTTTTGGTATTTTTATCATAGCAATAGAAAGGTGATCAGAATAACATTCTAAGTGCCAAGCTATACACAGATAAGGTTGATTCACAGGATGGACATTTCTGCTCTAAGAGGTTTCTGGCTGGTGGACCAGACAGGGATACTGATAGTACATGGTGTGACAGGATGAGCACAGAGAAGCAGCAGCCTATGACAAGAGCAGGCAAGAGGGCTTTTCCAAGGAGGTGACCTAGACACTGGCCCAAAAGCGTGAGGAGGAGTTCCTACTGCAATCCAGGCATGCATCACATGCTCACGACACCGGCTTTGCACACTCCACATATCTGCACACCTGGCACGTGCTCTAAGTAGGGACAGTCATCATTTTATGCATGAGAAAGGTCAGAGTGCTCATCCTAGTTTGTCAAAATCACCCAGTTAAAGAATTGTGACCAGGTGTGGGATCCATGGCAAGGTCTGCCTGACTCCAAGGTCAAACATCAGACCATATGTTATCATCATGAAGTTTGTGCAAATATATTATTTTCCCCACTTTAGAGATGTCAAGTCATTTGATTAGCACATGACAAAGCACAAATTTAACCTTGAACCTCAAACAATAGAAAACGAGAAAGCTGCAGCGGCTGGGTAGTGACAACAGACTCTGTGGACACAGCCTGCAAAGTTGGAATATTTTAAGCAGATACTATCTCTGGCCTATGATGAGAGCACTGCTCTCAGCTCACTCAGGAGGGGTTCACCCACCGGCACTGCAGCTGACAAGTGAACCAGGGCTTGCTGACATGTCATGTGACCCCTACACTCTTGATGTCATATGCATTATCATACATAATAATCTAGAGGAGCACACAAGTCAGAAGCATAATCATAGATCAGCAGTAGCTATTAACAGTAAGAAAGGATTAGAGGCCAGCCCTCAATCAACAAGGGTGGCTGGTTGCTGGCTAGGGAGCTGACTGTTGCAAAAAAGGCTCTTTCACTTAACTTTCTAGACCTTGTCTATGACAGCTCTTCAGCATCGCATAGACATTTGGCATTTGGGGACACAAACCTGACTCTATAGGCATTGTTACATTGTAGACATTTGGTGGAGAGGCAGTAAGGTGGGTACAGATACAGGAGGGGACTTAAATATGATCGAAATACAGTGTATGAAATTCACAAATATTCAATAATATAATAAATAAAGAGCTTAAAATTTTTGTGTGTATTTATGTATGGAGAGGCATGCACCACAATATACATGTGATCAGAGGACAACCCAGGGGAGTTGGTTCTCTCCTTCCACCATGTGGGTCTGAGGATCGAACTCAGGTTGTTAAGCTTGGTAACAAGCATCCTGACCCTCTGAGTCACCTTGCTGGCTGCTACACATACATTCTTGATTTTTCTGGGGCGTACTCAGTTATTTCAAATCTCTAAGTCAGGTAGAGGGTAAGAATCTAATTGCTGGGCTGAAGAGATGGCTCAGCAGTTAAGAGAACTGGCTATTCTTGCAGAAAACCCAGTTCAATTCCCTGTACCCACATGGCAGCTAACAATCATCTGTAACTCCAGTTCCAGGGGATTCAACACCCTCTTCTGTCCTCTTCAGGCACTGCATAACATGGGTGCACTTACATACATGCCGACATAACACTTGTACACATAAAATAAATAATAAACACATAAAAAAGAATCTAATTGCTTTCATTTAGTAATTTCCAGGTATCTCTGTTGTGTGATAAAGGTGCATCAGCCACAGTCGCCAGGAGCTGCCCTGTCCCAGACTCACCGTATTTCTGCAGCTTAGCTGTTGTAACTTGTTATTCACAGAACTGAAGACTGAGAATA